TCATCAGGTGATAACCCTGAAACAGTATTTTGTAATGTGTACACTTCGTCTGTTTGGAGTATTATGGGCTGTATACCAGTCAGTATGCTGCAGTCCTTCAACCCCTTTGACATGCTGCAAACTACTTTGTCAAGTCAGACAGTGTTCTAAATAGCACATGACAAGAGGTCAGTGCAGATCATCCAATGCCATCTTACATAGTATTTCAGAATTGTTTTTTTAACACTTATGAGGGGGGACTCCTTTTATAGGAGTCCTGCTAGAAAATATTCAAAAGAGCAAATAATCCTGTCACCTTCATCCCTCAGTCTGCCATCCCTTTCAGACTCACAGCAGTTTCAGTCACGGTGCTGAATGTGGTTTGAAGTGGGCGGAGCCTATGCTAATGAGACTAACGCCACCCTATCAGTAGCTCACCGTGTGATTGGACAATCTTTTAAAGTCCATTTATGGTTGCAAACTGCCTCTTCCTCATGTTGTATTCGTACTGTTTGTTTTTATTTGTGATCAAATTTTTATTTTATTTTAGGTAGGAAAAAAAGTCAGGCATATGTACATTACAAAAATAAAAAAGAAATAAGAGGTACGTGGAGAGCCAAACTCAGCACATATGTCCTGAAAAGCAAGTACCCCCCCTTTCCCCATAAATATCACCAAGTGTGTGAATATTATTTCTTTCCCAATCAGGAAAATGAATGGGCTGGTTGCCAATCAACAATTTGTCATTGTTAAATATTGGAAAATGTGGGCCCCTCACAGCGGAACAACCAGCCTATTTCTCAGCCTTCCTCCATGTAGAAAGCAAATACGAGATAATCAGACCAGATCTCAGACGGCATTGATGGATTTAAATATTAGAATGCAAAAAGTTGGGAATAGAATATGGGGCGAACCTCCAGAGCTCGCCAGGACACATGTGCATCAAATTATAACCACAATATTAAAGGCCTCAATGTGAAAAACCATTTATAAAATTTAAAGCTTAGGAGAGTTAGGCCACCATCCTGCCTTTTCTTGCTACATAGTGCTGATGTACTTTTTCTAAATACAGATCATTATATAACATCTAATGTCAGTTACCAGTAAGATGTTGGGAATATAAGTAACAATTCAGAGTTTTTTTTTAATTCACACATTTGAATGGGACTCCTTTTATAGGAATCCTGCTAGAAAATATTCAAAAGAGCAATAAATCCTATCACATTCATCCCTTAGTCTGCCAGCCCTTTCAGACTCACAGCAGTTTCAGTCATGGTGCTGAATGTGGTTTGAAGTGGGCGGAGCCTCTGCTAATGAGATGAACTTCACCCTATCAGTAGCTCACCGTGTGATTGGACAATCTTTTAAAGTCCATTTATGGTTGCAAACTGCCTCTTCCTCATGTTGTATTCGTACTGTTTTGTTTGTGATCAAATTTTTATTTTATTTCAGATAGGAAAAATAAAGTCAGGCATGTGTACATTACAAAAATAAAAAGAAAAAAGAGGTACGTGGAGTGCCAAACTCAGCACATATGTCCTGAAAAACAAGTAGCCCCCCTTTCCCCATACATATCACCAAGTGTGTGAATATTATTTCTTTCCCAATCAGGAAAATGAACAAGTTGGTCGCCAATCAACAATTTGTCATTGTTAAATATTGGAAAATGTGGGCCGCTCACAGCGCAACAACCAGCCAATTTCTCAGCCTTCCTCCATGTAGAAAGTAAATATGAGATAATCGGACCAAATCTCAGACGGCATTAATGGATTTAAATATTAGAATGCAAAAAGTTGGGAATAGAATATGAGGCGAACCTCCAGAGCTCACCAGGACACGTGTGCATCAAATTATAACCACATTATTAAAGGCCTCAAAGTGAAAAACCATTTATAAAATTTGAAGCTTAGGAGAGTTAGTCCACCATCCTGCCTTTCTTGCTGCATAGTAGTGATGTACATCTTCTAAATAAATAGCACATACATGGAGCTCAGTGTATAGTCTGTAATGTCAACGATCACCATGATGCTGAAAATTTAAGTGATAATTCTGAACTTTTTATTCACAGGATTGAGTGGGATTCCTTTTATAGGAGTCCTGCTAAAAAATATTCAAAAGAGCAAATAATCCTGTTAAACTCATCCCTCAGTCTGCCACCCCTGTCAAACTCACAGCAGTTTCAGTCATGGTGCTGAATGTGGTTTGAAGTGGGCGGAGCCTCTGCTAATGAGATCTCAGTAGCTCACCGTGTGATTGGACAATCTTTTAAACTCCATTTATGGTTGCAAACTGCTTCTTCCTCATGTTGTATTCGTTGAGTTGTATCTTAATTACGCTTTGAAGGTATTTCATGTTATGAAATCACTCATATGTGCCTTTTTTAAAAACATGATTATTTTAATTAATGCTTTGAATTATCCAGAACAGTACATAGAATTAACTCTTTTTGTGCCTTTTGTGTGTTCCCAGGATCAATCGCACAGAAGACGAGTATGCTAAGATATTCTACTCAGTAAACGGGTGAGTCGAGTGCTGACAAAAGTACAGTAACTTCCTGGTTTGAGCTTTACCTTGTACTACAGGTTTTAATGTGTATGCACGAAACCCCCAAAACACTAAAAACTGTCAAAACGCACACACTCCTACAAACAGATAATAAAAACAGTAAGAAGTTCAACCATTTATTGGTCTGTTCCAGAACAATTGTTGTTGTGTGATGTTGCTTGGTGTTACGAGAGAGCATCTTATGTAGTTATCAGGCTGAGAAGGTGGCAGACAAGTTCTGCAATTTCTACAGAAGTTTGCTCACAGCTGCACATCAGTCACATCCCTCCGGTTTTGCAAGAAACCATATAAGTCAACTGAATGCTACAGCAACAACGTCCTCACTGTTATTCGCCTGTAATTTTGACATGTTCTGTAAATTCGAAGCGTATTTGTTGCAGTTATTGTGCACGATGTTCAGACAGCAGTCAGCATTTCCCAGCATAGACCGTCTAACATGGAAGTGTCTCCTCAGGTTGTTGCTGCCGGGAGGAGATGTAGATCTGCAGACATCACAGTTCAGCCGAGCCGCCAAGATCTTTTACAACTTGGCTCTGAAGGTACGAGTATCGGCAAGTGCCTGCCGAGATCAAGTGCCGGCTCAGGATATCGCTCAGGCAGTGATCCCCGCTAAGCCGCGGCGGAGGGACAGTAACAAGACGGAATGCAGCACCTAAACAGACAGATTTAGGTTAAAAAATGGCCTTACACCTTCCCTCTCCCTCCCCGTTCCTCACTGTCTTATCCTCTGCAGGCCAACGATGCCGGGGACTACTTCCCTATCTGGGGAACTTGCCAGGGCTTCCAGCAGCTGTCCGTCCTCACGGCCAACAAAAACCTGCTCACGCTCACCGACACCAAGGCTGTGGCTCTACCTCTCACCTTCACACCAGGTGTTTTACTCCCTCACTGTCTTCTGCAGTTGCTGTGCTTTAGTTTGAGTGCGTCTTCTTTGGTAACCTAATATCATGTAGCTTCTGCATTCTGCTTGTTTCCTTTCTCGGCTTGGATGCACGTCTCAATCTCATGTATTCCGTCAACAAAAATGTGCTTCATGTCTTTTTTTTTTTTTTACAGTTTAACCCTCTGAACTGAGTAGTTTTTGAGTGTTTCTTGCACCTCTCACATTTTTCCTGACTGTGGGCTCATTTTTCACTGCATTATTCACCTCATTGAAAACAGCACAACCACGGCTAGAAGTAAAGAGAGCTCAAAACATGTCGTCTGTGCAGCATGACAGTTATAATACCATAGATTTTTTTTTTTAAATGGTTGAATTTCTTTAATTATTCTACAAAAATCGGGGCTCCACATCTTATAGATATTTTATTATTTACATTTTTTTCATTTGTTTCCATGCTTGTCCATTTTCTGCCTGCTTTGTGTCTACATAGCCTGCAGTTCAGCCTAGTTTAGCTGTGTAGTCCTTGAATTTTTGTCACGTAACTGTTGGTTGTATCTGACTCAACAATGGCTTCACGGTTGCGATGAGAAATGCATCATTTTTCGACTTTGCAGAATCTTGTTCGTGTCAAAAATGTATTTTTGGCTTTTTTTTTTTTTTTTTAAAAGACCCGTAAAATAAGGTGATTTTGATATAATATAACAATTTTTGCCTTTGATTTAGTCCAAATGAGTAGTTCAAAGACTGTCGTAAATTTGAAAATCCAATGATTTGTTCTTTTGTAACAGTTTCCTGCTGATAAATTGTGTCATTATAGTGATTTATGAGCGATGGCATGCCTTCCATATCTGCTCTTAGTCATCACCAGTCTTACACACCCTGCACACTTAGATGATGTAGGCAGAACTACAGGACGCTGGGCGTGGGCTGGTCGAGAAATTTTTGCTTTGGCTAACCAGAATTGGACACACACTCAAAAGAAGGGTTGATTGGACAACACTGAAACACCATAACAGCCTCTCACGTGCCGTCTTCTTTGCTAAGAGTTAGAACTCTTCCATCCAATGAGTTATTTGTGCTCCCAGGAACACAAATGATGCAACTGTGCTGTGATCACGATGGCATGAAAGCAGCAGAACTGAAAACCGTCCACGAAATCCCCCCTGACACAACAAAATTCAATATTTTTGTTTGTGTTTGGGATTTGGCGTAGAAACGTACAACGCTGCGGTGAACAGCCACAGTATGATTCCAAAGTGTAGCTGTAAACTCACAGTCTGTGTGTGTTTTACCAGCTTGGCATGTATGAAAGTACAAAAGGTAAACGAGTGTTTGATCCAGGTGCTGGATTGGAAAATGTAACTGATTATAGATGGGTGTTTTTTTGGTGGTTTGTGATCTAAGCGTATACTGAGAGGCTGCAGATGGAGAGTTTACAACCTATTAATTAAACAAAGCCTTACTTGCATTCTGATAAATCACTTAATCTATATTTGAAAAAAAATAAAAGTTGTGGCAAAGCGAAAAAAGCAAAATACACGAAAGCTAGAAGAGCGAGCTGCAGATTGCATGAGTTCAGATGTCTTTATGCATGTGAATGAGGAGTAAAGCAGCTCCATAGTGCTGATGGAGACAGAGAATACTTTAATTCTGCTTTAGATTGGAGTATATTTGTTGATGTATGAAGATAAAAATGTAATTTTTGTTTGGGATTTCTTTCATAGGAACCCTGCTAAACATTTTCTTCTGAGCGTTGCTGTCAAACTGTGTCTCACATGGTGTTGACATGTGGTTGGATTCAGTGTAAATTACAAGGCTCAGTACAACGTTTTGCATCTCAACGTAGTTACGCAAAAACAAGGAAGTTTTTTCGGCTTATCATACGCAAAGATTGTTCAAAGTGCGTCACAGGCAATTGCAAAGTTGGAGACAGTGGACACGGATTTATAAAAAAAATGCAAACTGACTACAAAAAGACAAGACATGAGACACATTAGACCATGTAAGAGATTAAGTATACAATAAAATAGAAAATAGCTTCAGCTTAGTGTTAAAATGGCCACATTAGGGCAAATCTAACTCAAGTGGAGGTGGAACCAACCAGTCCCTGCTGATCTGAGATGCTTTCCAGGCTTGTATTCATCAAACAATCCCGAGATCATTCCTAGACTGACTTGAAAAAAAAAGTAAGTCTCATATTTACCATAGAGCTAGTGCAGGAATCTTAGAATCAGAGTGACGTGTGCTCTCTCTCTCTTGCTTAGTGACAAAATTAACAAAAGAAAAGGTGGTAATACCACAAACAAAACAGAGCTGGTGGGTGTTGCCAAATCAAAGAACCAAACAAAACCAAACAAAGGCCAACAGAGTTCTAAAAAATGAGTTGTGTGTCGTTTTAAATGAGTTGCAAATGTCCACTGGTGTATAAAGAAGGCCAGTAAGGAGTGCACTGGCTGCTGAAGTTTAGATCCTTATCAGTGATTGCGTCATTATTCTTTACCCAGCTGTTAGCTGTTTAGTGCTGAGGACTCAAGATAAGGTTGACACATTGAATTCTTTTTGCCTTTGTTTAGTTGAAGGAAGTGTTGTTGCACCCAGTACTTCCTCAAGACGATGACAAAGCAAGTCTATAAGGTTGCAGTCATTTCGCAAGAATGCGAGATAGATGTGGTTGATGTCTGGGTAACTATGATAAGCAAACCGAGAGTTTTGCAACATTTGAAGTAGGGGTGACATGTACAGATTAAAGAGCAAGGGGCCCAAGAACTGATCCCTGTGGGACTCCACACATTATTGCTGCTCTATCAGTAATCACCAATACTCATGGCATATCTCCTTATGTGTGTTTTTAATCTCGCCATTTTATACTCATGTGCTTGACTCTCTCATATGACGCAAATTCAGCTCAGTCAGGATCTAACTGGAGCTAACTGAAGATACCATCGGCCACCCTGGATGACTCTGTTAGAAACTGGGCTTTACCTGTCCTGCTGTTAATTAAAAGCTGCGCTGTGCGAGAATGAATTAAGTACTTAACACGCAGTTCATGAAACGGCAATAAAACACCTCTCAGAGAGCATCGGGGATCTTCGGAAGCTTATTTCTGTTGGTAGACTTCCAGTTTGAGGCGTAGTTTTATGGCGCTGTTATCTAACAACCAAACAAGTGTCCCGTGATTTACTGTAATGAAGATGAAACTAAACAGCATCTCTTAATAGACTGCTGCAGAGTTCCAGCAGCTTGGACTGCATTAAAAATCCTCGCGTTTCATTTAAATTATAGCTCAGTTATGCGCTGTCAAACAAGAAACGGCTTCGGTTTCAATCACAGTCGATTGTGTGAAATGTGATACGATGGAAATACAAACACTGAGATCCAGAGCAGTAGATCAATAGATTAAAAAATCGATGACTTCTCTGGGGACGTGCTGAACATTTGATTAGATACGTGACAAGAGGGATAATTTTTTACTTTTTTTTTCTCGCCTCAACCTTGTAATGCTATGCTAATTGTTATTGGTATTATTGCAACACCTGCAGGTAACAACTAGTCTAATGTTACTAAAACAGAATTAGATGTTTTAATTTCCAATTATTAAACTAAGCCTTAGGGTATAAACAGGCACAGTGACTGTTATAAGAATTGGTAGTATAGTGCTTTTATTCTGTCTGATGATATCTCTATTATGTGTGTTCCTGTCAGCACAGTGTGGGAATGACGGCTCAGTGTTTCCAGGGATCTGACAGTTCAGTTGTACAGGCTGTTTTGACGTGATCCCAAGCACAGTTAGATAATCCACCAATCTCACTTTGTGGTGCAGACCTCTGGTAATCCAAAACACTGTCCTCACAGTTACATATTCCACTTTATGTAAAAGTAAGACCTGAAATGTCCTGTTCGGGTCCACTGAGGCTTTTCAGTAAAGCCTGCAGCTCTCTCTTGGGTTATTGTTGGGTTTTGTTTTTTTTCTTTAGATAGCTGAAGTGAGATCTCCTTTATGGGAAACTGGCTTGCAGATTTCTTAAGATGCTAAACTTCCTCCTTCAGTGACTTTGAAAATATGGGTTCGACCCACAGCGGTATCTCTTGTGGTGCACAGTGTAGCAAGACTGGGCTGTAACCAACGCAATGACACATTATCCTCTGTAAGAGTAATTTTTAGATGTGCCAAGCTTGTAGGCTAACCACACGACAACATATATAAGTATTAAGTTCAGTATTTTAAGTCATCCTTTAGTGTATTTAGCCAGCCCTCACCTTTGGTCCTTCTGATAAAGGATTCATTTCAGTTGTAAAATTGTGTGAAACAACTCTTTTGAATTAAATGTCCTCTATGCTGTGTTCTTCCAGCGGCCCAGTCCAGCCGTTTGTTCCGGAGCTTTCCCAAGGACCTGCTGCATTCTCTGGCCGATGAAAACATCACTTCCAACTTCCACAGCTGGAGTCTGTCGATGCAGGTATTTTCTGCTCTCTGTCTTTTGTGTTGTCACTCTTTTTCTTCCTGCTTCTTCATGAAAACATCACCTCTATATATATATTTCAGTCTGTCATGTTGTGCCTCTTTAAAGTGAAAACATCAGTATGCTTTAAACAATGTGTCTGCTTTACTGTCAAACAATGTCCAGCACACACCGCTCTGATCCTGGACTTATGAGAGGCTGCGTCCGACAATTGTCCTAAAGCATGCACTGCATTTGTACCATGAGTTGAAGTGGGATGTCAGTCCCCTCTGCTGGCCAGAAGGCAGCACAGTAGACATATAACTATTCCTTTAAACAAGCTCACAGTTAAAAAAAACTAACAAAACTGTCTCTGAATTAGTATAATCATATCAATGTCAATATAATGACATGACTGTGGGCATCTTAGCTGGGGGGAGAATAGTGTATTTGTTCTTTAAATAGCTTAAAACTAACTGAAAATCCGCTTTTAGTGAGATTGGACACGGTGTACTGTGGTGACAGTGAGGTGACGTGTTGTCTGTCTGGTGCATTTATGCAGGTTTGATGTTGTGTTTAAGCTAATAGGGGGTGTTCTACAGTGTTTTCCAGTGTTTCCAGTCTTACTATACTTTCTTTTTCAAAATTTAGTCTGTACATGTGCCTGCATGCTCAAGATTTTGCTTTTCTTTTCTGTTTTGCAGTTTTAGGAGAGTCAGGTTCAAATATCCTCAGTTACATATGATCACACTGTTTGTCATGTCGTCATATTATTCCCAAGTTTCATATTTAACTATAGAAAATGTACTCATTGTTCAGTTGTTTCTACCAAATGTATTCAAGGTAACCATCCTCTACTGTTTTGTGCTTACACGTACTAGCCTGACTCCATTTGTAAACGGGATTATTCAGAATCAGAGATCCTCTCATCCAATTCTGTAAACGACACATAAAGTAGGCATGGATGGGGGTTGAACCCATGATCTTTGGTTTACGAGACCAAC